ATTTTTTCCCTGTATTTTTATTTATTTATTTAATTTTTTTGCGGGTGGCTTAGGATTCCCTAAAGGATGGTGATCAAATTGTACATGTGACTTCACATTATTAATGTTGATGTGAACTCAACCACCTTTTTGACGAGTACTTTCTGTGATCATCTTCTGGACCAATGCCAATTTGATCAAACGCTGAGAAATAATATCCAATCCATTGACTTTCCATCTAAATGAATCCAATTGATCAGGTGGGGCTCCCATATTCAATTGGGTTATTTTTCCATCTGAGAAGATCTCCAGGTGGAACTCATAGAAGCTAGGTTCCCATGCAGATATTATTTAATTTCTAGTAGTTATTAGACAGTCAGTTGGTCTTTTTGATTCATTCATAAATAGCCCAACAGCTCTTTTGTTGGTTTAATTAATTCTAACATTGGTATTCAGGTGGTTATGAGATGCTGCTTGACATGTTCTTTTGATTAACTGATAATAATCTAGGAGTTCCTCTTCAGATTCTGAACATTGTTTTTCTTTGTTCTTATTTCAGGTGTGTTGAACTGGAAAAGGAAAAAAAAAAACATATAAAAGAAGTAAAATATATGCTATTCTATTGTTCATAGATGATGTCTCGGATTAAAACAAAAAAAAAGCAAAGGGGTATCAAGATCAGTTTGGTCAGTGAATATAGTATATTTTATATTTTTTGACAGGTATACATACAACTGTTGTTTATGTCTCTGATCTATTTTGCTAATGGTGGAAATTTTATGGATGGATCATTGACCAGAGTTAGCAGTAATTGGCTGACTATAGTTGCCTAATTGGTTGAATTATATTGGATGGATGCTGAAATTTAATGATCCTAATCACTTTGTTAGTTGTTTATTTAAATATTTAGGACCATTTGGTGCAAGTTTGGGGCTATTGCTTTCCATAATTAATGGTAACTAGCTTGCCATACATATAAATCTGCCATTTATACCTAGACAACAACAAGCGTACATACTTCAATGAGTGAACTCCACCAGAATTGAACTTAAGCACATTGTAGGGCCCAAACTGTTAATACCATATCTATGTAGTATGTATTACATACTTCATGACAGGTGCAATTTAATTATGAATTTGCAATGAATCTGGAAATCCAACCATACAACCCCAATTGCAGGTGGCCTATTTGATTAAAATACAAAGCAATTAATTTCAATTACTTTGACTATACACTGGGTATTCTATTTTTCATATTTGGAGCAATGAAAAAGAAGTAAATTTGATTTGGTGGGTATTCTATACTGATTTGGTTCCTAATAATGTTTTTGGTGAGTTCCATATTGGACAGTAGGACTATTAAGGCTAGGGAAAGGGAACCCAAAGTTTTAGCTGAGGGAAGCTTTCCATATCTCCAAGCCATAGAAATTGATTCATGAGTGTCTGTCAACTCATGGGCTTGACCATATCATTTTAATCTAGATCATTTGGACCTCCAATGAAGCCCATGAAGAATGGGAAACTACATTCATACATACATATATGTTTTGCATCCAATAAGCAATAACAACTAAGGTTGTTTACTCCCCTAACCCTAACAAGGTAAAGTAAACACATATATACATTGTTTTGAACTGCCTAGGATGCCATTCATATATAGCCTCATGATAATTACTCATGGCAAGAAACTAGGGGAATCAGCTTATGTCCCTTATCCCACACTTAACAAGAAATTAACCTTGGCCTATCTTGAAATCAGGTAGTGGACAAGCTTAGATAGCTCAGAATTCCAGGTCTGACCAAAATGATTCCACGTTAATAGTTTGTCTTATTAAGACCATTCTGAGAGGTAAGTTAAGATCATTGCAGGCCATGAAATTTGGGGGTATCTTATGACTAATTGAAACTGGACATTAGGACAGTCCTGGTGGCTGCCACGCAAAGAACTGGTCCTCAATACTATTCAACCAGAGGGAGAGAGAGATGGGTCAATTGGGCGTGCGCGTATGACCATGTGTGACAATGAGAGAACATGAATTCAGTTGTCAATGCTCTATCTCAGTGAGAATGAACAATCATCCAAAGGGGTTGGACGGGCTCGGACTGCACCCATTAGCTGATTTGTCTTGTCTAACAGCTCGTGTCCCTCTCACTCGTCTTAAACAAAATGGGTAAAAGTGTGTAAATCCACGTAACCAAGGTGGCTTTATCTAGTAAAAGGCAACACCCCACTTTTTTCGAAACACATAAACGGCCAAGTGTTTGGCTCCACCAGTGACAACTCTATTCTCTTTGGTACTCCTTTCTGCTTCCAGACTAAACCAAGACATCCTTTGAGGACCACACCAAAGGGTATTTTAAGAAAGTCAAAAAAGATTGTCAGCTACAACATACGAGCACTGTAACCAATTTGAATCCCATTTGTACAAACCATCTGTATCTCCATCTTCACTCAATAACACCATACCACAGCACTAGTTTCAACCCTTTCTCCCACAAATTGAATGAGCCCTACAGGTAAACTGTCAATATGGTTCCAATTAAATTTCCCTTCACAACAGTTTGGTCAAGCTGTGAGAACAATGATTGATACCATCTCTTTTCTCTTAGTTCCATCTCCTGCAACATTTAGTTTTGAATCATTACAATCAATCACCAAGACTCACTGCAATTAGACCCTTCTGTTAATCTAAGTTATGGTCTATCTTCTTCCTCCATGACTCCACCCATCTGTGCTTTGCCACCGCAGCGTGAACGTGCAAGGGACGAGCGTTGGATCACGGGTAACCTCTGCTTGCCCAGCTATTTATGGAACGGCAGTTCTGTAGGTTCCTCTGGACTTTTCTTAGCATCGAGAGGTCAGATGGCAGTGCAATAGCAAACAATTGCTTGCATGTAACATTCAAAGCTAAACAACAATTCCTGGTTTCATGGCAACCCCCTCAGTGGAGACGTCCTTTTCAATTAGCAAGCAACTTGGTTTCTGATTGATAAAGACCATGATCAACATTCTGATACCCATCAATTTGGTTAGATGAATGATCAAGAGTAGACAGTCTTAAGAGTGATCACTTGTCCCCTGAAGTAAGACCAGCATTGGGGTCCCCACTCTTGTTTCTACAGACTTATTTGGATTTACAGGCAGTATAGTATCAAAACTCATTAATAACCTGCAACAATGACAGAAATGTAAAAGGAGAAAGGAAAAAAACAAAAGGAAAGCGATGATAGTAACCTTTGGTGGTCCAGTTATGCACCATTTATATGGAAGAAGCATATGTAGTATTCATGGCAAAGTGGGTTTTAATCTTTCTTGATCCCATGAAGTAGACTGTTGCAATCGTAAAGCAACCAATGCAGTGGATAACCATAAATGGCATACATAGCTACCTCTCAAGGATGTTCTGAAAAGATGAAACACATCTAGATGCGTTTCACACCTTATGGAGGGGGTATTTCCAGAGGGGCGTTTCAAATAATTGGGTGGGTACCCCCCCTCTCTCTCTCTCTCTCTCTCTCTCTCTCTGATTCATTTTACCCATTGTATGCCAAAAGTAATATGAAGATGTGGACCACTACCAAGAAAAAACAGCAAAGCTTAAAATCAAAGGCACCCATTAGGGTGTTGTGGGAATTCAAAATCCAAGTCCATTATCTGTTTCTTGAGCAGGATAAGCAACGGTCTTGCATCATTTAACCAAAGGTATCACATGATATTTTCTATTGGTATAGACAATCAGTTAGTTAGACCTAATCAACGGACCGCCTCTTTGATGAGCCATTAACTTCAAAATATCAGAAGATTGTGGATAACGTTTGTTATTTGCATGGATAATTAGGATCATGTGTTTGTCTCAAGACACAGGATTAGGTATGTCTTGCCAAAATGAAAATTTGTTCAATCAATTCAACAAACTAGTCGTATAAAACTCTTCACATAACACAGTTCATGGACTGTCTATAGACGTGTTCACCAAGCATCCAAAACCACCCAATAATCAGATTTTAATCTACAAAGTCTTCTCAGTTAACCATTAACAAGTAATAGTACGTGCATGTGGGAAACTAGCTTTTTAATTTATCTTGTGAAAGTAAAAATCCTATTCAGATTGAAAGGTAAGGAAGCATACAGAGGGTAAAGAGCTTGAATACCAACTCAAGTTGGGATTCAGAAGCAGCCGCAATGTAGGAGTTGGGCCAGTGCTTTACAATAAATACCTCAGAAATTACGCATCCTGTAACCTTGAGTCCATTACTTTGCCGGTATGCCCTATGGGTGGCATTTATGTCACGGAATTTCCAAATGAGCACCATACCTGTCCTATCAGTTGGGTTGCTCACCTGGCAAACCTTGCTCTTTCACTATCATGGCCCATTAACCACTACTCATCTGGAGTCCATATCATGGCTAGTCCTCAAATCTAATCCAGCTCTAGGGCATCTAAAGGTGCCTCTGGATCTTTAACAAAGTGATTTAGTCCCTTTACAAAAGAAAGAACCAGCCAAAATGACTACAGGAGAAATTTGACACTAGATATGAACCCCGTTATTGAAAGCAAAGCAGGATAGAAATTGGGGTGCTCAAGGTCGGTTAACCGGTTCAATTAACCGTCGGTTTGGTTTGTCAGTTTTTTATATTTATAATATATATTATAAAAAAACATATAAATATATAATAAAAATAGAAATACATATAAAACATTATATTTTAAATAATAAATAATATATCATATATTATAAATATATATTTATATATAACGCATATTTATTAATTTATAATATATAAAATATATATGAAATATATATATATATATAATATACATAAATATATATAAAATATAAAAAAAATATATATGTATACCAGTCAGTTCTGTTAACCACTGGTTTTCCATATTGCGAAACCAAACCGGTTTGGTTCAATTTATCAAATTTTTTATTCGGTTTTGGTCGGTTTTTTGGTTCGGTTCAGTTTTTTGGTTTTTCTTGCTCACCCCTAGATAAAAAGTTTAATAATAACAGCATGATAAGGGTTGTAAGAAATGCTTTCAACATCATAATAACTAGTAACAAGTTTAATACAGCTTTTATCAATAATGCGGCATCTTGACCCATCTGCATCACAATATACCCTTCATTTAGATCCTCTTTCCATATAACTACGCTGTTAAAATGCCACGGTATTCGTGAGTTGAATTTCCAAAAGATCCTGCAGTGATTCAATCATTTTGACTCAATTAAACACCCTTGCCTTGACAAAAAGCGTTGACATCCCAATTATTTTAAATGATAAACAATTTATTAGCAAATTGCCCATAACCCATCAGCTCATATTTGAAAATGGATAAAGCTAAAAAGGGCAGTGCTTCCTACCTTTCTTTAGTTCGGTTTCATCCATCATTCAACTACAGTGAAAAAAATACATAATTTAGTATTGATCAAGAGAAAAAACACCTTATTCTCTGATAGTATTCATCTCATCTTGGAAAAATAAAGGATAGGTAAATTTGATCAAAAGGGGAGAGAGAGAGAGAGAGAGAGAGAGATGATAGGTAAACATACTTTAACTATTAAACAAGATCCATAATAGCCAAACAACAGAGGATTTAACCTTCTTCCCTTAATTAGATCATAAGCTTTACAGAAGACTCATATGCTGTCTGATTTTCATTAACCCCCAAATGCATGCAAAAGGACCTCCAATACCATAGCAATGCATATCAATCTCCACTATGATGCTTCTAATAAAACACAAAAATACCAGTAGGCTTTTTTTATAGATAAAAAATTGATATGCTTGTGGAGTCGCATTTAGTGATGATAAAACTGAATTTATGGTCTTCTTAATGTTTTACACAGAATTTACATATATTGTTAAGATTGTTTTTTATTTTTTCTTTTGATAAGAAAAATATATTGTAAATGTGTATGCTAAGATGGATGAGTGGAAAAAAACTAGAAAGAATAGGATCAGAAATGAAGTCATTAGAAGGAACTTAGGAGTAGCTCCAAATAGGTGATATAAGAGAAAGCAAACTAAGATGGTTTGGTCATTTGTATAGTAGACCATCAACAGCACACATAAGAAGTGATTTGTTACAAGGAGCTTGAAGGGCTAGGAGTAGACCAAAAGGGGCATGGCTCGAAGTAGTAAGAAATGATTGAAGAGCTCATAAATGTACCAATGGATGACATTAAACAGAAGGGAATCATGAAACAGGATTCATGTAGCCAACCCCATATAGTTGGGGTTTTTTGTTTTATGTTATTATCTTTTGATGGGAGCAAACAGGGGAGGGGGGTACCCAT